CATTTTATGTGACAACAAAATCTCTTATCTATTAGACAAGTCCGCCCGTCCGTCTGTCTGTGGTGCTGTTTCAGCGGCCAAACCGTAAGAGATAGATAAAGAGAATGTTTAAGTTATAAGTTAAGAATAGTCTGATAAGACTACAAACCGGATTTGAGTAACGTAGCATTTCCGGTTTTCGAGAAATCACGAATTTCAAACGAAACCACACAAAATCTCCGAAGTTCTCAATTAATTAAATACATTTTTTTTTAATTTTTTTTTTTAATCAGGTTTTGGTGAACATTTGGTTCACTGGTTTGCTAGTTTACCCTAATGCGAGGGAGTCCTATTGCAATTTCCTCAATGTTGTGTTTATCTAGATAACATAACAATTTCTACGAAGTGAGCACCTAATAAGGGTCGGTTAAACTCGGAACCGGAACATATATGAAAATGATAGGCTACTCCTTCGCAGTAAGTAAGAGAAGACATGAGGAGCTCGATGGCGCAGGTGGCTAGCGCGTTCGGCTGCGATCGTTGAAGTTAAGCAACTTTCGCAGTGGTCGGTCATTGGATGGGTGACCAAAAATTTACTATCTTGAGCTCCTCCGTGCTTCGGAAGGCACGTTAAGCCGTTGGTCCCGGCTGCATTTGCAGTCGTTAGCACCCACCAATCCGCACTGGGCCCGCGTGGTGGGTCATGGCCCAATCTCCCTATTCCATCCATAGGGAAGGCCTGTGCCCCAGCAGTGGGGACATTAATAGGCTAATGATGATGATGAAGAGAAGACATGGAAGCCTTTGGACACCCTTGCCTTGCGTAGGTATTATATCCGTTTCCGAGGGATCTACTCTTAACCATTAACAAAATTTCGTTTGGTTTCGATATGTTTATAGTAGTGTTGCACCCACTGCCGGATTTAGGGGAGGGCAACCGGGGCGAAAGCCCCGGGGCCTCCTCAAAGGGGGGGATACCCCCACAATAGAGACTTCGGAAAAAAAAATCTTTCAAAGTCCAACTAGTAAACACTAGTAAACATCTTTTTTGAATGAACCATGAAAGTTTAAAACAATATAAAGTAAAAGTGTTTTAAATTCATTGCAAAACTTCGTATAATTTATCCAAATTCATAGTGAACCCCTATGAGATCAGAGATCCTACACCGGAACAGGAAGGCTGGGTCTCACTCAATACTCGTGCCATGAAGACTCGGAAATTTCGCTTTCACGTGGTTTATTATACAAAATATTACACTATAGGTACAGTACCTACCTATATGTAGGCTTTTTTATGTAACGTGTTATTTGTAGTTCAAAGTAAACATCCTCGGGCTCTCGGAGGCCGATGTCAACAGTGCTGGATGGATTTTTGTAATCAATATTTATGCCTACCGCTTCTTTGCGGCGTGTGTAGGCTTGAGAGACGTTGGCTTTTTGTCGTGAGTTTTTTTACAAGACGGTGAATTTTCTACGACGTTTTGTCAGAAAATTGAGTGCTGTTTCGAGCTATGGATATTCAGAGTTGTATTATAAGGTTATGTTGATGAATTTGTATTTTTTGAGTATTTAACTGCTAGATGTTCAAATCTAAAGAAAATTTTACTGGAAAAAAATCCTCGCGGACCGCGCAGCAGACTGGACTCGAACCTGCACCTTTCGCTATCCGGGCGGATGCACTGACCATTATGCTGCCGTGGCCCTAATGGCCGTGTCGAATTCTTTCTACTATTTCTTAGGCTGCAAGGCAGTACCATCTCTTCGCATTGTAGGTAACCCACAATGACTACAAATATTATGTTAAGTTGAATAGTTTTAACAAGATACTTATTTTTTTATTAGTTCTGAATAAGGTTCCTAGTCCATAATATTTGAAAATCACATATTTAAATTATTATCAAAACTTTCAACAGGCTTAAATTATAAAAATTGTTATAATTTTTATTTTTAAGCATGTAACAGCTCGATGTTTAAATGAAAAGAGTCTCGTCTAATGCCTGGTCCGCGTGGAATTTTTACTAGTAACATTTACTTATGAAAATTGTTGTTTAAAAAATGACGACCTCCGTGGCCGAGTGGTTTGTACGCCGGGTTTCATGGCTGTCGCCGACTCGAGAGGTCCCGGGTTCGAATCCCGGTGGGGGCAGATGTTTGTGTAATGAATACGAGCATTTGTACTCCAGTCATGGATGTTTAATATGTATTTATATAAATATACTTATATATGTACAGTATATGTATTCTATCCGTTACCCTAGCATCCCATAACACAAGCCTTATAGTGCTTACTTTGGGGCTAGGCTTATTGGTGCGAGTGTCGGAAATATTTATATATTTATTTTTTTATAAAAAGGGGCCCAAAATCTGACTCTCTGTTTTGTCGGTAGTCGTACAAACGATATAAAAAACATGGCATTAAGATGTTTACCTAAACATTCCTTTGCTGTCAGCATTAATTCTGTACTCTAAAAAGCATTGAGAATATAAACAGAGCTTCGCACACATCCCTTCTACTCAGAAAAACATGCTCTGTTATGAAAATCTTTTCTCTTACTACACATACCATGTTAAATCGTACGTGATCCCCATACTAATGGTACAGCCGTGTTCTCCCATAACGTGTCATCCGTCAGACAGAGACACGAGCTGTGTCAGCTAGGCCTCTTTATTTTTCATTTAAATGACGGTAAAGCCGGCAGTGTAACCATCAAACGCAACCCTTTGTGTTTTCGGATGGGACTCATTGTTTGGGTCACTCATCTTACACTGCGGTAGAGCATTCGCTTTCATCGACAAATTTTCATTCGAGATAATTATGATCATCATGAATTCATGATGCTGGAAGAATATTATGAATTAAATCGTATATTTCTAACGAGCGCTTCAAAAATAACACTTCAGTATCCTTAGCACGAACCAATATCGAATTCGAATAGTTTGCGAGTGCAAAATGTCATTGTCAAATTTTGTATGGAAACTTGAACAGCAGCGCCGTAACGGACGCAACGAGAACTAAAAATCAGTACACATTTGACAGTGACATTTCGCACTCGCAAACTATTCGAATTCGACATTGGCTCGTGCTAATGGTACTTAGCTTAGCACGTAAAGTAATGACGGTCATTCGCGCTCCTAACATCAATCATTCGATAACATTTGCACATTGCATGTCCGTTGACTAAAGTTATTACCACTTATTATAGTACTCAAACTTGCATTAGTACTTAAACACCCATAAACCGATCACAAATATGAATTCTGTTTTTATTGCTGTTATTCATCTCCTGAAAAAGAGTTCTAAAAAGCCTTGACATATATCTAGATCTGTAGGATGACCCTTATCCCATTTAAGGGTAGGATCCCTATTAGGTATTATTTAGGGGACTTTTATACAGTAAACTAACGACCCGCCCTCGCTGCACTTCAGTGTAGAGCTGTAGTGTAGACTACAGTTTTTGTTCTCAGGCTTGTATTATACATTCATCTATGATTCTTCTTATACCTGCATGCAGAGTCTCAGCCCGATCAGTTTAAAATTGACAAAGTTTCATACAAACTTTCATTCCCTATTTTATCCCTTTGGGGGTAGAATTGATCAAAATCCTTTCTTAGCGGATGCCTACGTCATAACATCTACCTGCATGCCAAATTTCTGCCCGATTCGTCCAGTGGTTTGGGCTGTGCATCGATAGATTACTATGTCAGTAAGTCACCTTTGAGTTTTATATATATAGATTTATGAGTACTAGCAACTCTATATCCACAGAAGGGTTGTACCGAACACTCGATACCTGAATAAATTAAAGTCTGCTACGGTTGCAAGCAAGTTGTGCAAAGTGAGTACAGATCGTTGGTAACTTTTAACGATGTAACTTAAGCTGATGGAACAGAATTAATGTCAGAAGCACGTATTCTTAAGTCAAGGAACGTTATGAATATTGATAAATAACAACATCTATCTATACTTATAATAAATCTGTAGAGAGGTCAATTCTGTACATGAAATATATTTTCAAAATAACTATCAGGGGGTGATTAGTGATTGATACTGATGCCAAAAATGCAATCAGTAAAATTTTTGTCTGTCTGTCTGTCTGTGTGTATGTTCCTTATAGAAACAAAAACTACTTGACGGATGTTAACCAAACTTGGTACAATTATTCTTCATACTCCTGGGCAGGTTATAGTATACTTTTCATCACGCTACAATCAATAGGAGCAGAGTAGTGAAGGGAGATGTTGGGAAAACGGGAGAACTTACTCCATTTTTAAGCTTCCGTCGCGTGTGCAGCCTTAATGGTTAAAGTTACATAGAAATCATGTATGACGGAAATATTCTACATAAAATTGTCTAAAAAATATCCCTCAACAGCGTATGTCTATCTTTTATGGTTGACTCACAATAACACGTGTAATTATATAAATAAAGTCATTGTTTATAGCACAAGTCTGTGAACAAAAACTATCGTTTACACTACAGCTCTACACCGAGGCGAGCGAGGGCAGGCCACTAGTACACAATATAGTTACAGTGTGACGTGTGTTGATCCCAAAACATGTCATTTAAAACTTGATATCCTATTCAATTTTACTTTACCCAATTTACAGCCGTAGTAGGTTAAAAAATAGGGGTTGGTGGTAGAATAGTGAAAACTTAGGGTTGTATGTATTTTTGTATGATGATTTAAAAAAATAAAAAAAAATATATCTAAAATAAAAAAAAAAAATAGTGGTGGATTACCCTTAACATTTAGGGGGATGAAAAATAGATGTTGTCCGATTCTCAGACCTACCCAATATGCACACAAAATTTCATGAGAATCGGGAAAGCCGTTTCGGAGGAGTTTAACCACAAACACCGCGACACGAGAATTTTATATATTAGATTACAAAACCTAATAAAATTATCCGACCGGATATGAATGAAATTTTGAACGAGTACAGTTTATGACTTGGATTGAGATTGTTTTTTTAAAAGTATAATTTTCATTAGACTAAAAAAAAACATAATTAAAAAATACCTGTTTGTCCCTATCTTGCGGCATTTTCGCATCTACACCCTCCGGGAAGGGCTTCACCAGCTCGGGTTTCTCCTTGATCTTGTCCATGATGAAGTCCAGCACCACCATGATGCCGTCCACGGAGCCAGTGATGAGGCACGCTCTCTCCGTCGTACCTGGTGGCAATGACAAATCTAAATCAACCACAACTTTTTCGTTCGAATCAGAGCTCCTATCAGGGGAAGAAGCCACAACAAAAGACTATTTTTTTAACTTAAATATGAATAAAATCAATTGTATAAAAATTTCAAGCTTACAGCTACAAGTTTTTATTTTTTTATTTTGCCGACAATTTCAAAAGTATAGGGCTTGATGTCGAGCAGGGCTGAGGCGTGCCAGGCGATGCTCACAGTTCTAAGCATGCTATGACTCATCACCATAAGTTCAGTAGCTCTTTCTCTATAACAGTTGTTTAGAATCTAAAGAAAATATTACTAGAAAAAATTCCACGCGGACTAGGCAGCACCAACACCTACTGTGGGTTACCTACAATACGAAGAGATGGCGCTGTCTTGCAGGCTAAGTCTAGTGAAAATTCGACACGGCTATCAGGACCACGGTAGCATAATGGTCAGTACATTCGCCCGGATAGCGAAGGGTGCAGGTTCGAATCCCGTCAGCTGCCTGGGGGCCATTCTCCTAACGGGATTGCTTTGGAAAACACTATCGCTTACGATTTCATTTTATTATTTCTAGCCACCTGAGGTTTTCAAATACCTGACGCTCATTTTCTTTTATATTGTTATTAACAATGCACGCGCATCTCTGCAATTAAGAGCGCTGGTCCGCGTGGAATTCTTTCTTGTAATATTTTCTATAGATTTAAAACATCTAGCAGTTAAATGCTTAAAAAACCAATAATTTTACTTTACAGTTGTATTCAAAGGCGTCATTTAAAGTCACGTGTTGTCTTATAGCCAGTGATCAACATACACGGACTAGGTACTCGAGCAGACAGTGTCCACAGCTCGAAGCTGCCATAATCTCCGCGCTACCAACCGCCCGAACAGTTGCGTTCGACAACTAGGTATTCGTGTCGAGCGATAAGAGTCAACAATGAAATGAAATGAAAAGTCTTTTATTCAGTCTAGGCTGTTACAAGCACTTGTGAAGGTCAAGAAGCTACGCCCATCGGTTCGCAAAACTACGGCGGGAGACCTTGTACTGAGAAGAACCGGCAAGAAACTCAGCAAGGGCTACTTTTTTCTCCCTGTATTGATTATACAGAGTCGTCAAGTTGAAAAATGACTTCAGAGATACTTCTGAAGTCACCTTCCATTACATTATTTAGGATATAGATATATAGTTACAATAAATTTTATATTTAGTATATAGGAAGCGGCATTAGATAGGTATTACTGTTACAAAAACTGACCAATACCCATCAAATAACAAATTACAAGAAACACTATGTCCATGCATTACGATCATTTAGATAATAATTAACTTTATAATAGCCCTTATTCATAAGAGTATTCTTGATCTGTGATTTAAACTTGGTTAGTGGAAGCTCAATCAGATCTTGGGGAACTTTGTTAAACAATGCAATACTACATCCCAGAAATGAACCTCTTGATTTTTGGAGTCTGAAACATGCTTGAAGATGCCATTGATGACTGCTCGAGCAGTCCATCCCGACTGCATCAAGCTGCCGGTGTATGGCGGCTCTTGCTCTATTCATCATCAGCCTATTAATGTCCCCACTGCTGGGGCACGGGCCTTCCCTATGGATGGAATAGGGATTTTGGTAACCCATCCAATGACCGACCACTGCGAAAGTTGCTTAACTTCAACGATCGCAGCCGAATGCGCTAACCATTTGCGCCATCGAGTCCTTGCTCTATTATCTCTTATCTATTAGACAAGTCCGTCCGTCCGTCTGTCTGTGGTGCTGTTTCAGCGGCCAAACCGTAAGAGATAGATAAAGAGAATGTTTAAGTTATAAGTTAAGAATAGTCTGATAAGACTACAAACCGGATTTGAGTAACGTAGCACTTCCGGTTTTCGAGAAATCACGAATTTCAAACGAAACCACACAAAATCTCCGAAGTTCTCAATTAATTAAATACATTTTTTTTTAAATCAGGTTTTGGTGAACATTTGGTTCACTGGTTTGCTAGTTTGGTATTAATTTTAATCAAACTTAAAAGTTTGAGTGCGGCAGTAACGCTACTCCTTCTCTTGCACTTATTTTCGCGAAGTGTGTAAGGTTTTCAAACTCTATAGGACATAAGTTGGGGTGAAGGCAGGCAGCACTTGAGTGATGAATGATACTCAACATCGATAGAAAGCCGTTTATCATGAGTCGGGTAATACGTTTATTTGACGCACTTTTTATAAATAAAGAAGTCCGCTGTTCCCTTCCTCTCTTTAAAAACTGACCATTATATATTGACTAGCGGCCCGCCCTCGCTTTGCTTCGGTGTAGAGCTGAAGTGTAGACTACAGTTTTTGTTCTCAGGCTTGTTTTATACACAATGACATTCATCTTTGATTCTTCATATACCTGCACGCAAAGTCTCAGCCCGATCGGTTTAAAATTGACAGTTTCATACAAACTTTCGTTCCCTATTTTATCCCCTTGGGGGTAGAATTGATCAAAATCCTTTCTTAGCGTATGCCTACGTCATAACATCTACCTGCATGCCAAATTTGAGCCCGATCCGTCCAGTGGTTTGGGCTGTGCGTTGATAGATCACTATGTCAGTCAGGCACCTTTGAGTTTTATATATATAGATAGATATGACCAAAAAATTTCCGTCGTTCCATTGTTTTTATCGTAGAGATGCAGTACCTATTGCGAATACAAGAGCTTGCGTCGCCTCGTTAGTTCGCAAAAAAATATAAGTCTATGTAAATATAAATTATGTGTAATGTGATCATTTTGTGATTACTCTCTAACTTGTTTATTAGCAATCCAATGCTTAACAGAACGACGGAAAAGTGCTAAACATTATGCAAATTTAAACTAGTATAAATTTAAGTAAACAATCAAACGTATGACCCTTGATAATAAAACACACACCAATGTTTCGCAGCTAAATCAAAGATTGAAAATGTCATCATACTAAAAAGACATTGACTATCGAAATACCACGACAAGGATCTAACGAGATTACATCATCGTTCATCCATCATAAAGTTTTTACAAAGCTTGTTTTTCTACAAGATTAGTAATCGGTGAGTATAATGCAGTTATGAAAGAAAAAAAATGATAGGTACTAAATTTTCCTCAAAGAATAAAGTAGAGATAATAGTTGCCTTTGTCTTGTAACTACAAGCCGCCCATAAATAGGCCGAGGAAAATATAACGATCCACAGTATCAGGAGAGGAAGACGATAGCGAACCGGTCCATTACCCCGGTAACCTCTCACGCAGCCGCCGAAACACTCATCAATTACCCCTAACGCGTTTGGAAAAGTCGAACCGGGGGTAAAAAAAGTCGTAAAAATGGTGCGGTAAAAAGCAATTACTTAGAATTGACTTTATTAGACCATAGTTCGTAATGAACAATTGGAATTCCTTAACCTTCTATAAAAAAAAAACTTGAACCAGCAAGTCATGAATAAATTTACATAAGGTACACCTGAATCTGATAACGTTATGCCTTAGATGGTATGGTATGGGGACGAAGACCATGTAGTGAAAATCGCATTAATCTTGCCAGAACAAAAGAGAGGTAGAGGCCGCCCGCCATCGACCTGGTGGTCAAACATTGAAAGAGACCTTAAGGAAGCCCAATTGCCAAAACCGACAACCCAGGACAGATCAACCTGGCGCCGTAGAGTGAAGAGACCCGACCCCAGATAACGGGAACAGGGACGGAAGAAGAGACACATGAATCAGATAACATAGGAGAACGTATATGCAAGAACCACATTTAGCTAGTGGAATAGTGTTATCTATGCACAGGAAAGAAGATTGTCAGAACGAATCTTACACAAACTGTACCAGAGTTGCCACGAAAAATATCTTAAGCAATGGAATTACAAAACATGTTGTCTATGTTTAATATTACCCAAGATTTGCCGACCCCCTGACATTTCTTTAAAATAGAGTGTGACCATTAAACATTAAGATCAAAATTTGCATAAACAAATATTTTGGGTGATGATAATGCGTCACATTTTATAAATTCAAATAGAAGCGAACAATCAGAAATAACGCATGCTAAATTGGACGACCCACTTTTACAAAGCAGGCACTAAAATATAATAATAATAAGCATAGTGAGGAGGTTCCTGTCTCTGGATCCTTAACCACCGGTAGCAGGGACCCTGATCTTGCTGCCGATGGGGAACTACATTTTTGTATTTTTAAATGTATTTTTTTTAATGTTATACACTGTAAAAAAATAATATTTATAAAAATAATTTTGTATGTATATTTAATGAAATAAAGGAAATAATAATAATAACTTTATTAGGAACAAGTGCAATGTACATAAAATTATGAATCGTTAGATCTGTTTTAGTTTTACAAAAACTGTGTTGCAGAATTAACACCCATTCCCGTATATTATGAAACAGTGTTCCTATCAATGTATAAAATTAAAACAAACTGTATTGTTACTGGAGAGGAAAATTAAAATACTGAAAGCAATCAAAACCTCCGATTTCATTAATAATGTTAGATTATTTGTACACAATAGAACAAGCTCTCTTGTGTCAAACCCTTTCAGAAACCGGTTAAAGTCACATTTATCTCGAAGTTCCCTCTAACGGTAGTCCCTCAGCAGCTTATTTGGGTCGAGGGGCTACCCTTAAAGGAAGTTTACTCCGAATGCTTAGTTTGCTCGTAAGCCCGACATCAATTTGCTGGCGCACGACACGAGGGCCGGCCGGACCACACCACGTGACAAGAAATCTTATGGCATTTGATTCAACTATTACCGTTTCATAACTGGTTTGGCGAAGGTCACGGACGATTTCATTAGAGCTATCTCATAATATTATCTGTGTTTTATACACATAATGTACAATACAAACTTGCTCGGGAGTTAAGTTAGCCTATTTGATTGCAGCTACCAGTGATAAACTACACCAAGGCTTATGGACAATGAGATAAAGATTCCTCTATTGCAGATGATGCTGTGAGACGCGTCGAATCAAAACT